ATATATATATATATATATATATATATATATATATATATATATATGTACATGTATTCTCATATTTCTTGCCACAGGTACAAAGACTAAATCATATTACGGTGTACGTTATCAAAGCTTAGAACATGTGGACAAATTCTGACTTTTGATAACAGAAAAATACACATCGTTCTAACCATTTAAAACACATGTACTAAGGAGTCAAGGACATTATATAATCGTCCTTGGAGATACAGATAATGGTAAAAACTGAAGACACAGAAGAAGATATAGAAGGAACTCCGGAGATACAGCGCTAGACCGTTTGTGGATTAGCCATCTATATGTGGGGTCGTGTGGCGTAGCGGCAGAGTGTACGACTCGGAACCTAATGGTCCCGGGTTCGAGTCCTGACATGCCACCGATCTTCTGCCCTTGGGAAAGGCATTTTACACGACATTCCCCACTTCGCTCAGGTGAAAATGAGTATTGTATTGTCCCATGTGTTGGTGGCGGCAATAATATAAGTTGAAAAAAACTTGAGTGTGCCGTCCCCACGTCTTGTGGAATATAAAAAAATCCAGGTATAGCCATGAAGCGAGGAGGGGCTTCATAGAGCCATTGGCAGCCTGAAGACTAGATGAGCGTGGTCTTGCATGCTGCATATCAGGAACGAGCTTGAAATGCGGCCAGATCTCCAACGGGAGTTGTCGAATCCATGACTACTTTGCATTCATAACTTTCGCGAACTCTTCGTAGTTGAGCTACGGGAGGAATTGGAGTTAGACATTTCGTTAAGCCATTTGACATAGTCTGCAGACGTGATCTTCACAGTAATAATTTCATCAGGTTATCATGAAAGTTCATCTTTGTTGGTAGTAATCATAGTAAGACGTTAAATTTTATTCCAACACACTATTTACAAGGGATCAAATTTTCAGCGACCACTGTCGCCTTCATCAGGATAATTAATGACCAATCACTTCACTACGTGATCTCGCGAGAGTTATGGTTTACAAACACGTGACCTTATTCACACGAGACTTTACTGATACGTGACGTAAGTAATTGATCAAAAGTGCTCTGATATATATAGCCTCCTTAATGCCTCTTAGAAAGTAGTCCTGTTCAGTGTCCAGTATTCTAACTTTGTCCAGAGAGACTGTGTGGCCCGGTGATTCGATGTGGATGTGTTGAGAAACTTCAGATGACAGCGAGCTGGGGCGTTTGTGTTCAAGAAATCTGGTCCTTAGTGAGTTAGAATGGACAAAGTTAGAATACTGGACACTGAACAGGACTACTTCCTAAGAGGCATTAAGGAGGCTATATATATCAGAGCACTTCAGCCTTCACTTAGTAGAGACGGTGGACGATATAAACTCCCTGGCACTTTTGATCAATTACTTACGTCACGTATCAGTAAAGTCTCGTGCGAATAAGGTCACGTGTTTGTAAACCATAACTCTCGCGAGATCACGTAGTGAAGTGATTGGTCATTAATTATCCTGATGAAGGCGACAGTGGTCGCTGAAAATTTGATCCCTTGTAAATAGTGTGTTGGAATAAAGTTTAACGTCTTACTATTTCATCAGGTTGGTAAACGGTTTTTCGTTGTATGTACATGTATTTATATGTAATTTTTCTTTAATAAACGAATAAAGAAAAAAACGAATGAATAGCAAAATTCTTTGATCACAACCATTTATTTTTCACGAGCCGACGTATCGATGACCGTCTGTCATCTTCATCAGGGCAATTCTGACTGGTTTACAGTGCACTGACGCTAGATGTTACTTGGTGCATAGTGCACTAAAGGTGTTACATAGTTCACAGTGCACTGTTACTTGGTTCACAGTGCACTTAAGCTAGTTTTTACTGTTAACAATGCATTTCGGCGCGTAGTGTAATTGTGAACTATGTAACACCTTTAGTGCACTATACACCAAGTAAAATATAGCGTCAGTGCACAGTAAACCAGTCAGAATTGCCCTGATGAAGATGACAGACGGTCATAGAAACGTCAGCTCGTGAAAAAGAAATGGTTGTGATCAAAGAACTTTGCTATTCAGTACATGTACATGTACATGTACATGTTGTTAAGTGATATAGGGCCTAACCTTCCCATCTCCGTCCAGATCGGCCTCTCGCATCATTTCCTCAAACTCTTCATCTGTCAGCTTCTCTCCCAGGTTGATCAGCACATGCCGCAGCTCCGCAGCGCTGATGAAACCGTCACCGTTCTGTAAACATTGAAGGACAACACATGAGAAACATCATCCAGAACAGAACATTGTCATTATCAACCATTAAAAGCATATCCTAATTTTTAGAGACAGCAAATGGGGCACATGCTAGCTATAGGTCAGCTAGGCTAGAGTACTACCTCGCTACAGTACAACGTTTTGTGGTGCCTGTCCCAGGGGTGCCAGAGTATACAGTGCAATTTTACTAGCTGCAATTTTACGGAATACAGTACAATGGTATTAGTATACAGTGCAATTTTACGGAATACAGTACAATGGTGTTAGTATACAGTGCAATTTTACGGAATACAGTGCAATCGTATTAGTATACAGTGCAATTTTACTAGTAAAAGTGCATTGTATATTCATACAATTGCACTGTATTCCGTAGAATTGCACTTGGTATACTAATACGATTGCACTGTATTCCGTATACGCGTAAAATTGCACTGTATACTAATACAATTGTAACGTTACTGAATTCCGTAAAACTGCACTGTATTCCATAAAATTGCACTATATTCCGTAAAATTGCACTGTATTCCGTAAAATTGCACTGTACTCCGTAAGATTGTACTGTATTACAGAAAATTGCACTGTACTCCGTAAAATTGCACTGTATTACAGAAAATTGCACTGCATACTCTGGCACGCCTGTGTCCCTTCCTGAAACACCCCCGATTGATGACGACAAACCCTGTCAAACACGCGGAACGCCTCCGTCAGCTCCTCGTTTGCGGCCGACTCCATTTTTCGCGCCATCATGGCGAGGAATTCTGGGAAATCTATGGTTCCATCTCCGTCCGCGTCAGCCTCTTTCACCATAGCCTGCATAAGGGCATAAGTATAAATTTTTTTGGTCAATCGTTCTTGATAGAATGTATAGCAACTTAAACAATGCTACAATTCTAGTCTACAAGTATGTAGTACCCGATTAAAACTGTAAGTTTATCCTAATTTGTTCAGTCTTTGATGTACGTGCGTATTTTGGCATTTTCTACCATTCAAATACCGTATATGAAATTTGCCAAAGGTATACCATGTTCAATCTTCACTGGGTATCACATCAAACCTTGGTATCGCAACATACTATGAAAGCATATTTGCAAATTAAGTGTAGATACGAAAGGTCTTTGCACAGCCAAGCGATAATGCACTCGACGGATGATTAAGTATCTACTCCAGTCATGAACTGTAACGAGGGGTGTACAATTTGTGCAACTAATGGATATCCCAATAAAGTATCAAAGAGGAGTTATACACTGTTAGTCCCGTTTGGGACCGCATCGTTCAACACTGCAGCACGGCGTAGCGTTCGTGTAAGCCATCACGAAACCGTCGGCGAATGCACTTGGGTACACGGCGCCAGCGTTGACACAACCCGACACGACAGCGTCCGAGCGTGCGGCATACAATGTGCGACGCATCACGACCGCCAACGCATCACGAATTTTGCGGGACACGCCAGACTTGCAATCCGAGTGATGCGGCGCCGGATTTCGATAGACGTTCGCGACGCATCACGACCGGCAACGCATCACGAATATGCGGGACACGCCAGACTTGCAAACCGAATGATGCTGCGCCGGAGTTCGATAGGCGTTCGTGATTGCTGTAACGAAATCGCCGGCAAACGCACCTCACGGGTACACTGCGTCGGGTACACGGCGCCAGCGTGTACAAATCCCGATACAAAGGCGTCCAAGCGTGCGGTAGGCACAACATTCGACGCATCATGGCCGGCAACGCATCACGATTCTGCGGAACAGGCAGTCAGTGTAGTGAAGAATACCGAGAGGTGACAGATATGGGAAGCCCGATTTTGTAGTGGTAGTACCTGTAGTATCTGTAGTCAGGACTGTTAGAAGCATGAAGAAAAGAGTTTGGGCTGCTGTAGTGAAGTCACTGTAGTCAGTGTAGTGAAGAATACCGAGAGGTGACAGAAATGGGAAGCCCGATTTTGTAGTGGTAGTACCTGTAGTATCTGTAGTCAGGATAATGAAGAAAGGAGGTTGGGCCGCTGTAGTGAAGTCACTGTAGTCAGTGTAGTGAAGAATACCGAGAGGTGACAGATATGGGAAGCCCGATTTTGTAGTGGTAGTACCTGTAGTATCTGTAGTCAGGACTGTTAGAAGCACGAAGAAAAGAATTTGGGCTGCTGTTGTGAAGTCACTGTAGTCAGTGTAGTGAAGAATACCCGAGAGGTGACAGATATGGGAAGCCCGATTTTGTAGTGGTAGTATCTGTAGTATCTGTAGTCAGGACTGTTAGAAGCATGAAGAAAGAGTTTGGGCTGCTGTAGTGAAGTCACTGTAGTCAGGGTAGTGAAGAATACCGAGAGGTCACAGATATGGGAAGCCCGATTTTGTAGTGGTAGTACCTGTAGTATCTGTAGTCAGGATGATGAAGAAAAGAGTTTGGGCTGCTGTAGTGAAGTCACTGTAGTCAGTGTAGTGAAGAATACTGAGAGGTAGACAGATAGTGGGAAGCCGATTTGTAGTGGTAAACCGTGTAGTATCGTAGTAGTCAGGATGATGAAGAAAAGTTTGGGCTGCTGTAGTGAAGTCACTGTAGTCAGTGTAGTGAAGAATACCGAGAGGTGACAGAAATGGGAAGCCCGATTTTGTAGTGGTAGTACCTGTAGTATCTGTAGTCAGGATAATGAAGAAAAGAGGTTGGGCCGCTGTAGTGAAGTCAGTGTAGTCAATGTAGTGAAGACAAGGGTGTTAAGCAAGGTTGCAATCTCAGCCCGACACTTTTTAATCTGTTTATAAATGACTTAGTTAAGGAACTAGACAACCCAGAATGTTCTCCACCCACTATTCACAATTTATTCATATCTAGCTTACTTTATGCAGACGATGTAGTTATTTTCTCCGAAACCGAAAAAGGATTGCAGTTTGCGCTAAATAAACTTAACATATTTTGTTCACACTGGAAACTGCAGGTAAATCTAAAAAAGACAAAGGTCGTAGGTTTTAACAGAAATGGACGAGCATTTAAAAA